ACCCGGACAGGTTTTCCGTGCATGTCCTACAGGGAGGAGGCCCCGGGGCAGGCCCAGGACTCGCTGGAGGGATTATATCTCTCGGCTGGCCTAGGAACGCCTCGGTGTCCCCCCCGAGGAGCTGGTGGAGGTAGCTGGGGAGAGGGAGGTCTGGGTGCCTCTCCTGAAGCTGCTGCCCCCGCGACCTGAACCCCGGACAAACGGCAGATGATGGATGGATGGATGGTTTGTTGTTGTTGTGTTAACCTGTATGTGATTCATTTGGTGTGTGTGTTCAATACTATTCCTCTTTCTCTCTCACTGACTCTCCCTTTACTTAAAAAGATTCAGTTTCACGCCACAAAATCCGGTGAAGAAAGTGCAGGACCCAGTTCTCCTCTGTCGGGAGGTCACCTTGCTCCCCCACCTCAGCATGGAGATCTCCCAGCTGACGGTGACTCCCCAGACAGAGGAGGCACATCTGTAAGTCTGCATCTGCATAGAGACTTACAGTAAATGCCAAAATTAGAGCAGACACAATCATATACATTGTCAGTTCTTACAAACAATGGGATTATATAGACCAACAGTATTTATAAAGACATTTGTACTTGTATGAACAATAGTCTGATTGCATGGATCTCCTGCAGGTCAGCTGGAGGAATAAAGCACGGGGATCATCGGGGTTCAGCCGTCAGGTTTAGCGACGGGAGAATCGAGCCCCCAAAAACGCAGGACCAGACGGCGGACGTACCAGAAGACTCCCTGAGGATGCTCGGCGGGGATGGGGCAGCTCCTGTGGCGGAGGAGAGTGTTACACTCTGCATGAGTGGAGTCACCGCCCCCTTCAGGTACACCTGGGGAAATGACTGGGCTCACACACATAACAGGCTCCTGTATTTTAACATTATGGATTGTTGTGGCAGATGCACTGATAAACACCATCGCGGGAAAGCGAATAAGTACTTTAGGGCATTTTTCCATTATATGTAACCATGACATAGTGTATTATACAGCAAATTAAAGAGAGGGATTTACTACCGTTCAAAGAATTTGAAAGTAATAGTGGTGAAACCAGCAAGAGTGGATTAAATCCCCACAACAGTGGGATGGTCCTGGACAGTCCAGGGTCTCTGGGCAAGAGAATGTTGCCCAGCAACTCTCCGTTATTTTGGTTAGACCACTTATTTTATCTATGGCTACAAGAGCAAATGTCATTTCACCTCTCATGTGATTGTGTTTGGTTTCTCCTATGATTCCCGTCCCCCTTAAACAGACAGAGCAGAGACAGTGACAGAGGGTAGGGAGAGATAGAGGAAGATATGTGAGGGAGAGAGAGTGACGTTAGAATATTAGTGAAGCAGAGTAAGAAAAGACAGTCAGAGAGACTGGAGATGCAGAGTGGTGGAGCTTCCTTAGAGGGAGGTGAAGTTGACGATGACTTTTCTCTTCAGAGAGGAACAGAGACACAGCCTGCTGCTCAGGTTTATCGGCTCGTCTCCGTTCTGAGCCACCTAGGCTCCAGCGCCACCTATGGTAAGATGCATGTACGCTCACACAGACTCACTGCAAAGAATCACATGCGAGTGCTGTAATGTCACCCACTACTGTCATACACATTTGTGTAGCAACAGTCAGGTAGGGAAAATGCTTATGAGAGTAGCTGCTCGAAAATGTGTATACTTAAGATGCTAAAGTCATGTGACCCAGAAGAAATATTAAAAATATATATATATATATATACACTCACCTAAAGGATTATTAGGAACACCTGTTCAATTTCTCATTAATGCAATTATCTAATCAACCAATCACATGGCAGTTGC